ACAGAGTTATTTCACAATAAACAAACTGAAATTGTAGTCTACATAGTTTGTGCAATTACAGTTATTTAAATTGAACGTTGAAAGATAATATTGATCATGTTCTATTCTATAATGTTAATAGAAATCATACACTGTCAGAATAAAAAAGTTGCATTTTATGCATGCAACAGCCGGTCACTGGCAGTCACTCATGAAAATTAACCAGGTTTTACTAAAGTGACCATAGTTCAACTGTGGTATTTATAGATTTGAATCATGTGTAAACAAAAAACATATTTGAACCATGTGTAAACAAAAATATAACCTAATAATTACAATTAAGGCATATTGAATGTTAAAGTGCGTTTTAAACAAAGTTAAGTGCTTATCATTACCCATTTTACTCTTAGTAATTTAATAATTTAATACATTTCATAATTTAAAAGTTTAGTTCAGAAGTATCGAATCGGTATCGATATCGACGATACTGCCTTGACAAATATCGGTATCGTATCGAAAACAAAATAAGTGGTATCGCCCATCCCTACTAAATGAAGATTAATGTCTTGGCGTATGATCCGTTTATTGAACCAATCAGATGGAGAGTCAGCGAGAGCCTCATTTGATTGGCTACAAGAAGGTGGTGGACCCGCCACAAATCACTGTTTACAGGCTTGCAGTGCTTTTGACCATCTTTTGGTGAAGAAACATTTTTGCATAATGTCATTTTCACTGTGTTTTGTGTGTAAAATGAGTGTTACCTTGGCTTTATTTAAAAAAAAAAAGTGACTCCCAATGCACACATACTTCCCAGAATACTGAGTGCCCTGTTGGTTACAGTGTTTACTTCCTTTTTAATTATATTTGTATTAAATATTTGTTTATTTGTGAAAAATACTTTGTCATTTAAAGTATAAGCTTGTTTATTTTACACATTTATTTTTTAATCCATTTTCAAATAATTTCAAATTTCTTAAATATTAAATAAAATATAATAATATCGGCCACCCTGCTTTCCAAGTTATCGGCATCGACATCGGCTGTCAAAAAAAACAATATCGGTCGACCACTAATTAGTATTACTCCTTTCTTCCTACTACGTCTCATCTTATGTTGACTTAACTGATGATACCCTAAAATGACCATGATCAATACAATTTTATAAAGCGGAGTTCCGGTGCTTGATTCTGATTGGCTGAGCCACATTCGACGCTGTTGTAAATTACTCTACAAACATACACCTTTGTTAACTTCTGTGTGTTGCTCTGCAACCACTTTGTTGCAACCACAACTGTTTCTGAGGAACTACATTGTTTGGTGGAAGAATACTGTTTTTATTAATTGCTTGATTCTGATTGGCTGAGCCGCATTTGACGCTGTTGTAAATTACTACAAAGTAACACACACCTTTGTTAACTTCTGTGTGTTGCTCTGCAACCACTTTGTTGCAACCACAACTGTTTCTGAGGAACTACATTGTTTGGTGGAAGAATACTGTTTTTATTAATATCATTACACTTTATTTGCTCCATTTTATTTTGTGAAACCTTACTACGTATATGGAATAACCGTTTTATAAAAGCAATAAGCCCCGTGAAGCTGTGGTTTAAAGTGAATTTATAACAGCTAAGGGGGTTTTAGGCACTCCGCTTCGCCCCATAGCTGTTATAAATTCACTGTAAACCAAGGCTTCTTGGGGCTTATTGCTTTAATAGAGACACAGACAGACAACAAACCATGTATATTCTTCTAATTCTTTAGTACATACTTTCTTCATGCCTCTATAAACAATCTGCTGCATAACTTACACTAACCTTACTCGTCTACTTTGTTCCCCTTTAAGAACTTGCCACAACTTCTATAAATGTAAACAGGTAGTTTGGTCACATTTCAATCACTTGGTCTCACTAGCAGTTAAGCAACATGTTGCTAGTATAAACTCATTAATGTACAGCGTATTTCTCTCAAGTCAAGAGCTCAACAATAAAACACGACTACAGCAAACTTCTCTTAATCAAAGAAAATGTGCTTTTATCTACACAAACAACATAATACATTGATAACAGTAAGACCACCTCCAAATATATTTCAATAAAAACAAACAGCTGAATGTTACAAGGTGATATGTGAATTCAGTAGGAAATAACTACTTTCAAACAGGTGTCTTTGCCCACTAGTACAACTTCATCTACTTAAAATTGCATGTCAACAAACTACTTATAATGCAAAATACTCTACATATTCTTTCCTAAATGCCTTTCTCAGCATATAATCTACTCTGCTGTTTCTCTTTTGTATATTTATATACACTTCATCTCCAAACAAACACATATTCTCACTTTCAAACCAAACTTACATACATGCCACTCATCCCAATCACAGAAGCCTTCATGTTCAGTCTGTGTCCTCATCAGAGCCGTGAGTTCTGCAGCACAAACACACCAACATTACATTAAAACAGGAAAAAAATTACAACACAGCTACACAATATATACAGAAAGAAAGACAAATAATTAATACA